GATTAAAATTAATTAATTATGATAATTAATTCAATTGAATGGCTAACTTATCATTAATTAAAATTAATTAAAATTAATTAATCATATTTATTAACTTCTAATCAAGATAATTAACTTGATCTAATTATCTCAAATTAAGATCAATAAACGTAATTAATTCACTCTAATTAAAATTAATTAACTTTATTAATCACATATTAAACTAATTATCATAATCAATATATCATTTTATTTACTTTTTGTTTAGTTTTTTTTTTTAGCTTAGGTCGGGTCAACCTGCCTGGAAACACAATACCATTCACCAAAATATGCAAAGAAAACAAATCAAACAAGACAGAAATAGAATCTGGACAGCAATAAAAATGAAATTTAGGGTTCATTTCAATTGCCTCTCATTTCCAACAAAAAAAGATAAACAATATTCATCAGGAAAATAAACTGGACATTTTTTTTATTTTTCATTGATTTTCAGTAAACAAATACAAACATAAATAACATAAAAGCAGATCACAGAAGCAGGAAGACAAAGAAACAAGCACGGCGGAGCTTTTCGGGTAACAGATCGGAGTCCGATCTGGGGAATCCCACCCACGGGATCAAGCCCAGATCATTCCCCTCACTGCCTCCCCAAAAAGACTCCTCTGTTGCAGGAAAATACCTAGCAAAAGGAGGCTGAAATATCGCCGGAATCTTGCCGGAATCAGCTCGGTTTTCTTCTCTCTCCTTTCCCCCGAAACCCAGAACAATGACTCCCAAATCAAACTCCTAAATCAGAACCCCCCGGCCTCAATACCAGAAGAAATCCCCTTCCAGCTCCGAAAATCAACCAGAAAAACCCCCAAAAACCGAACTCCAAAATCCACTCAAAATCAAACTCCAAATATCAATCAACCACAGACCCTTCCTCTAAATCAAACTTCAAAAAACTCTCCAACCCCCCCTTCAGCTCCAAGAGGAACCCGAGAATCCCCAGCAAAAACCTCAAACGAACTCCAAAAAAATCCCCCTCTTCATTCTGATTTTTCCTATATATATACCCAAATAAAATAAGATGAAATAAAATAAAAACTTGATCCGTCAATCAGTAATGATGAAGACTTTGTCTGGCATGTACTATAGCGAGCAGAGGCAGGGGCATGGCTCGGTGCAGAGGGCATGATTGCTGGCGTAGAGTGCAGGCGTGCAAGCAACGTGGGTTCGGCGCAGCAGGCGGCAAGGGCTGATTTGGTGCAGCAGCAGGGGCGTAGGGACATGATGGCTCGGGTGTGCAGGGGCAGAGTGCAGGCGATCTGGGCGCGCAGAGTGCAGGCAGTGGCGCAGAGTGCAGGCGCGCAGAGGCACAGGCTGGGCGCGGGCAGAGGCGATCAGGCGCGCAGAGGCCAGAGGTGTGCGATTGGGTGCAGAGCAAGGCCGGTGATGGCTGGCGGGCAGGAGGGAGAGGAAGCTGGGGATTGGCTGCTAGCAGACGACAGGTTGCAGGCGTGTGAGGGGGCGACAATGGCTCGGTGCATGCAAAGGGGGTAGGGGCACAGGGGGCACTGGTTCGGGTGTGAGGCTAGGGTGCAGGGGCAAGGGGGAAGAGGAAGGTTTTGGAGGAGAGAGAGGACGGGACCTTTTCAGGCCCCCTTTTTTTTTGGTTAAATTCCCATTTTGGTCCTGAACTCAGGCACCGTACAATAATTCAAGGACTAAGTTAGGGATTTCTTTAGTTCAAAGACCAAATCGGAGGTACGTATAATAGTTCAGGGACCAAAATAGAGGTTTAACCTTTTTTTTTGGGTTTGGGTTAAATGGATTTTGGGTTTTGGGTTTTGGGTTTTGGGTTTTTGGGTAATTGGGCTTGAGTTTGGGTTTTGGGTTTGAGTTTTGGGTTTTGGGTTTCACTTTGCATTTCACTCCTC